GATAGAAAGAAAGAAAAATAGGAACGAAGGAAAAGAACTAGGAAGAAATGAAGATACCGTGAATCGGATAATGAAATAAATTCGAGCGATAAGATAATAATAATAATAATAATAATAATAATAATAATAATAATGAAAATAAGAATAATTGTAATTATCGTTATTAATGAACTATATAAAAGGAAGAAAAGGGACTAATAATGAATGGAACGACGAAGGAAGGAAAGGAACTAGGAAGGAATGGATCGTGGAAAGAAACTGGGAATGAATGGAGCAAGGAAGGAACTAGGAAGGAATGGAACGAAGAAAGAAGGAAAGGAACACAGAAAGAATGGAACGAAAAGGGAGGAATGGACATAGGAAGGAATGGAACAAGGAAAGAAAAGAAACTATGAAGGAATAGTACGAGGAAGGAAGGGAAAGAACTGGGATGGAATGGATCGAGAAAAGAAGGAAAGGATCTGGGAATGAATGGAACAAGGAAGGAGGAAAGAAACTAGGAAGGAAAGGAACGAGGACGGAAAGAAACCAACTAGGAATAAATGGAACGAAAAAGGGGGGAAAGAACTAGGAAGAATTGGAACGAGGATAGAAAGAAAGGAACTAGGAAGGAATGGAACGAAAAAGAAAAGGAAATATGAAGGAATGGAACGAGGAAAAAGGAAAAGGTACCAGGAAGGAAAGGAACAAGGAAGGAAAGAAACTATGAAGAAATGGTACGAGGAAGGAAGGAAAGGATCTGGGAAGGAATGGAACGTGGAAGGAAAGGAACTATAAAGGAATGTAACGAGGAAGAAAGGAAAGGCAATAGTTAGGAATGAAACGAGGAAGGAAAAAAAACTAGGAAGGAATGGAACTAGGAATGAAAGAAATGAACTAGGAAGGAATGGAATGTGAAAGGAAGCAAAGGAACTAGGAAGGAATGGGACGAGGAAGGAAGGAAAGAAACTAGGAAAGAATAGAAAGGGGGATGAATAAAAGGAAATAGGAATTAATAGAATGAGAAATGGAAGAAAATAGGAAGAAATGAAAAATGAAGGAAGGAAACGTACTAGGAATGAATGGAAGGAGGAAGAAAGGAAAGGAACTATGAAGGAATGGAACAAAGTAGGAAAGGAACTAGGAAGGAATGGAACGAAGAAGGAAAGAAAGGAACTATGAAGGAATGGAACAAGGTAGGAAAGGAACTAGGAAGGAATGGTACGTGAAAGAAAGAAACTATGAAGGAATGGTACGAGGGAGGAAGGAAAAGAACTAGGAAGGAAAGGAACGCGGAAGGAAAGAAACTAGGAAGGATTGTAACGAGGAAGGAAAGAACGGAACTAGGAAGGAATGAAACTAGGAAGAAAGAAAACGTACCAGGAAGAAATGGATCGAGAAAGAATGAAGTAGGAAAGGAACTAGGAATGAATGGACGGAGGAAGAAAGGAAAGGAACTATGAAGGAATGGAACAAAGTAGGAAAGGAACTAGAAAGGAATGGAACGAGGAAGGGAGGGAGGAAAGGAACTAGGAAGGAATATGACGAGGAAGGAAAGAAAAGAAACTAGGAAGAAATGGGACGAGTAGGAAGGGAAAAACTAGGAATGAATGGAACGAGGAAGGGAGGAAAGGAACAAAGAAGGAAGGGAATGCGGAAGGGAAGAAATTAGGAAGGATTGCAACGAGGAAGGAAAGAACGGAATTAGGAAGGAATGGAACTGGGAAGAAAGAAAACGGAAAGAAAAGAAAGGAAAAAAAAACTAGGATGGAAAGGAACGAAGTGAAGGATCTAAGACAGAAAAGAACGAGGAAGGAAGGAAGGAAAGCGACTCGGAAGGAATGGAACCTGGAACGAAAAAAAAAAGGAATTAGGAAGGTAAGAAAGGAACTAGGAAGGAATTGGACGGGGAAGGGAGGAAAAGTAATAGTAACGAATGGAAGGAGAAATGAAAGAAAATAGTAAGAAATGGGACGATGAACGGAGGAAAGGAACTAGGAGGGAATGAAACGAAGGACGAAAGAAAGGTACGAGGTAAGAATGGTACGTGAAAGGGAATGAATTAAGATTGAATGGAAGAAGGAAGAAAGGAAAGGAACTAGGTAAGAATGAAACGAAGCTGGAAAGAACCTAGGAAGGAATAGAACGAGGAAGGAACGAAACTAGGAAAGAATAGAATGGGGAAGGATCGTAGGAAAGGAATTAATGAAGAATGGAACGTGGAAGAAGAAAGGAATTAGTAAGGAATGGAGCGAGTATGAAAGAAAGGAACTAGAATGGAATGTAACGTGGAAAGAAAGAATGAAACTAGGGAAGATTGGAACGAAGAACGAAAGTATCTAGGAAGGAATAAAACAAGGAATGAAGGAAAGGAACTGGGAAGGAATAGAACAAGGAAAGAAAGGAATGGGACGAGGACGGAAAGGAACGAGGAAGAAATGGAACATGGAAGGAAGAAATCAACTAAGAAGACATAGAAAGAAGAAGGGAGGAAAGGTACAAGGAAGTAATTGAACGAGGAACGAAAGAAAGGAAAGAAGAAGAAAAAGAATGAGGAAGGATCGAACTAGGAGGACTAGAATGAGAAAGGGAGGAAAGAAACTAGGAAGAAATGGCACAGGGAAGGAAAGAAAAGAACTAGAAAGGAATGGTTCGACGAAGGAGAGGAACAAGGAAAGAATGGAAAAAGGCGGACGGAAAGGAACTAGGGATGAAAGTGAACGAATAAGGGAGAAAGGAACTAAGAAGAAATGGAACGAGTAAGGAAGGAAATAATGTACGAAGGAATGGATCGAGGAAAGAAAGGAACTATGAAGGAATGGAACCCGAAATGATAGAAAGGAACTAGGAAGGAATGGAACCCGAAATGATAGAAAGGAACTATGAAGGAATGGAACCCGAAATGATAGAAAGGAACTAGGAAGGAATGGAACCCGAAATGATAGAAAGGAAAAAGGAAGGAATGGAACCCGAAATGATAGAAAGGAACTAGGAAGGAAAGGAACCAAGAAGGAAAGAAAGGAACTTCGAAGTAATGGCACGAGGAAGTGAAGGGTCTAGCAATGAATGGAAGGAGGAAGAAAAGAACTTGGTTGGAATGGAACGAGGACGGAAAGAATCCAGGCAGAAATGGAACGAGGAATGAAAGAAACTAGGAAGGAATGGCACCAGGAAGGAAGGAAAGAAAGGAACTAGGAAGAAATGGAAGCAGGAATGAGAGGAAATAGGAAGGAATGGAACGAGAAGGAAGGAAAGGAACTTGGTAGGAATGGAACGAGGACGGAAAGAATCCCGGAAGGAATGGAACGAGGAATGAAAGAAACTACGAGGGAATGGCACGAGGAAGGAATGAAAGGAACTAGGAAATAATTGAACCAGGGAGGAGAGGAAATAGAAAGGAATGGAACGAGAAGGAAGGAAAAGAACTAGGAAGGAATGGAGCGAGGAAGGAAAGAAAGGAAAATAGACGGAATGGATCGAGGAAGGAAAGAAAGGAACTATGAAAGAATGGAAACCGCAACGAAAGACAGGAACAAGAAAGAAAAGGAACGTAGAACGAAAGAAAGGAACTTGGAGGTAATGGCACGAGGAAGTGAAGATGGAGAAGAGACTTGAAGCAACAGAAACAAAGAAATGTGTACTGAACTGTTATGTGATATCTGTCCACCCATATAGCAACGAATGCTGGACAATCTCCTCAAAGATGAGGAAGAAGACTTTAAGCAACAGAAACAAAGAAATGGGTACTGAACTGTTACTTGATATTTGTCCTTCTGTATAGCAACGAAAGCTAGACAATCTCCTCAAAGATGAAGAAGAGACTTGAAGCAGCAGAAACAAAGAAATGTGTACTGAACTGTTACGTGATATCTGTCCTCCTGTATAGCAACGAATGCTAGACAATCTGTCACCAAAGTTAAGCAACGTCGAAATTCGTATTATCTAGATGGGGTGACGATTGTGATGACCAGGTGCTTAGATGTCTCTAATGGATAACGGCTCTGAACTGGATATCGAAGAAAATTGGAGATCGAAATTCTCTACCGCCTTAACTACGTATTGAACTCACACTCTATATCCACTGTGCCATGTACCCTCAATGACAGTGGATAAAGGCGTTAGCTAGATCCAATGAGAAGACTCAAAAAGTGTGAGTTCAATCCCTGGTTAAGGCGGTGGAGAACAGGGAGGGGTGAATTAACAGGAGATAACTGATAACTGGCACCCATTAGACATGGCGCGTGGAACTAGAACAGTCTACCTCAATGATCGAAATAAAGGGTTCGGTTCGACATTACAACCACCTGAAGAAGGCCGGAGAGTACAACGGCCGAAACGTTGTAATAAATATGGCTACAAAGATGAGGAAAATAGTCCGAACAATATAAACAGTGTACATAATACTTCATACTTCATCTCAGAAATATATACAGATACCAATTATATATATATATATATATATATATATATATATACAGTGGGGGGAAATAAATATTCGTACATTTGAAAAATTGTATTTTTATGAATGTAAAAGCCTTCATTAAAACAAATTTTAATACATTTTATGTGTAAAGATACATTTTATTAAAAAATAGTAATAAACTTAATTTTATTCTAACAGAAATTAATGCATTTTTTTTTTTTTAACTGATGAAAAAAAGTATTCGTACAAAAAAAAAAAGCATATTAACTTAATTTAATACTTTGTGGAATATCCTTTATTGAGTTCAACAGCTACCAGTCTATTCCTGTACGTCTCAACTAATGATTAGCACACATTGAGTGGTATTCTATCCCATTCTTATTGGCATATTGTCTTCAAAATCTTGATATTTATTGGTGCTCTTTTCCCAATTTGAATTTTCAAATATCGCCATAAATTTGGCCATTGTAAGACATCAACGTTACTTTCAGCTAACCATTTCTTTGTAGATCTAGCGGTATCATTATCCAGTTGGAAAACCCAATCAGGTGGTAGCTGAAGTCTCTCAACAGAACGCATTAAATTTTCTTGCATGATTTTCTGGTATTTTTCGGCATTCATCTTGCCATCTATTATTGATATTCTGCCAACACCTTTTGCAGAAAAACAGCCCCAGATCATGATACTGCCACCATCAAACTTTCCAGTTCTGTAACGTGTTCTTTCTTTCCAAAGTCCTTCCTCCAATGATTTCGATTTGTATGAAATAAACAATTCTTTTTAGTTTCATCTGTTATTAGAACCTTTTCCCAAGACTAATAATTGCAGAATGCTCTGATAACGAATTTTAGCGTTAATCTATAATTACGTTTCAAGAACATTAGTCTTCCTTGGGAAACATTTCAGAATGTTTTTTTGTTTTTTTTCATAATTGATTATTGTATTCTAATAATTGATTTAATCCATAATGCCTTTTTCACCAGTTAGAATTCTCTGGGTAACATTAATTTCTGTTAGAATAAGAATTAATTAATATTATTATTATTTTTTAATAGTAAATCTTCCTTATACATAAAATGTGTCGTGATTTGTTTTATTTAAGGTTTTTACGTTTATAAAATACAATTTTAAGTAAAAGGAATATTTATTTTAGAAATATATATATATATATATATATATATAAATATATAAAATATGTTGTTTTTATATATATATAATTCTTTAAAGGCCTAGGCATTGAATTTGAACCTTCTCGGTCTGATGAATTATTGCAGAATGCGATTGTAATGTAATAAATTAACTATAATGGAATAACCTTGTTTGAACATTCTAGAATATTCTTTGCTTTATAATTAATTGATTATTTTATTTAATACGTCGAATTGAATTGGAGAATACTTTTTTCACCATATATGTTTTTGTGCGTGTGTATACATATTTCTGTTAGAATAATCGATACATTTATTTATCTGTTTTTTAAAAGAATATTTATACAATAAAATGTTATTTGTTTTATTTAAGTCTTTTACATTTATAAAAATTTATTTTTTCAAGTGTACGAATATTTATCTCCTCTTTATATATATATTATGTATATATATATATATATATATATATATATATATATCTATATATATATATATATATATATATATATATATATATATATATATATATATATAAAACCTAAAGCGAAAAATTAAACGTTCAAATAATATATGCATACATGTTTAAATATATATATATATTATATTTATATATATATATATGAAAGCGAAAAATCATTCTCGGGAGAGTTTGAAAAGCAGAAAGTGGAAAGCAACTTTAACATACTTTTGAGCTTGCCTAAACTCATGGCAGAACAGATTTGTTTAATGGCCTCATAAAACCGATGAAAAAAGAATTTGCTAAGTATTTTTAGAAATATTAGAAAATTTTAACAGACCTATTTGTTTATATATAGTGTGTGTGTGTGTGTAACCATCCAGCGCTTAAATATATTTGCACATGCGAATGTGTGTATTGATAGGTATATTTATTTATATGTTTTTATTCCTAAATTTTAGATAATAAAAATAAAATCTCTCCTCTTTTAAATAAATTTCTATCTATCTATCTATTTTTTTTCTTTCAATTAAAAATCTATCATTCATTATCCTTAGAATGTGTCTCTGTCTTTCATGGATTCTATCAATTCATTTATTCAATCTAAAAAAAATATATTTAACTATCTATTTCAGTCTGTTCATATCTATCTGATCTATCTAATATAATCTATCTATTCTATATATATGATTCCATCTATCATCTATTTCCAGTCTGCTTTACAATCTATGGATTTATTTATCATATATATTTTTATATATCTAGAATCAGTAGATTTTCATTTCTTTGACTATTTCATTGCATTCAAATAAAATATCTATTTCAGCCTTTCATAAATCTTTCTATTCATCTATCTATCTATCTATCTATCATTTTCGACATAAAAATTTCTATCTATCTATCTATCTATCTTGACAAGACATCTCAATTAAATTAAATTAAAGTAAGGAGGAAAAAAATATTTTAAATTTATATATAAATATTGATATATATATATATATATATATATATATATATATATATATATATATATATATATATATATATATATATTATAGAACAATTTTTGTCTGTGTGTGATTTTGGTAAAAAAAACATTAGAACGGTTTCTTTTTTTCATCAAACTAACAATCAATCCGCCTTTTTTTTTTCATTCTTTCATTTATACAGTGGTAAAATCTTTTTTTCCTTTTATTCTTCCACGCTTTCATTCATTCATTCAATCATTTTTTTTTCAGCTTCTTTTCTTTAAGTCTTCCATTACTCCTTTCTTTTTTGCTTCGTACCCTTTCTCCAAAACGCTTTTCTTTTACTGATAAATTGGGTAAATTCATTTTCTTGCTAAAAATGATGTCGCTTTTTGATTAGTGGATCCGCCGCAAGGATTTATACTGGTGAAAGGGAGCATTATATAAAAAGAAAAGAAAGAAAACGAAAAGAAAAGAAAGATTAAAAAAAGAAAAGAAAAAGAAAACTACAACCGATCTTTTCATTCTTCTTTTTCTGTCTATTTTTTACACTTTTCCTAATTCATTATTTCTCTGACAGTCTCGTTTTTCAAGGTATAATATCAGATTTAAAAAAAGTTTTTGATTCGGCTTGCGGTCGTTCCATCTGGCGGCGGCAAAAAATGATGGTTTTTTGCTAAATGAATTTTTTTTATAATTGGTGTATCTTTAATCAGGGAAAATTTATTAAAAATACTTTGTTTTATTAGGCGGACAATACAAAAAAATAAAATTGATAATAAATTTTCGCATTTTCCATCGTTTAAATTTTCAATTATTTCCTGCTTAAATGGCAAAATGAGGAAGCTAATCGCCATAACGAAGCTTTTAAAGTAAAGAATGGCCGAATAAGAAAGCCTCCATTTAAAAACTTTTAACCGGGACAATTTTCAAAGATTGAAACGGAAAGGATAATCCATTTTAAAGACTCTCAGATATACATAATTAAATACAAATTACCCTGTTATATAAATGGAGACGGCAAAATGAATTGACACATTTTTAGGTTTAATAAAAGCGAAATACAGTAATATATACATATATATATATATTTAAATTGTGTAATTTAATATTAAACCGATCATCTAAAATTTTTTGTTTTTTTTTTAAAATTATCCATATCTATTTATCTAATTTTTTTTTTAATTTATGTAAAATACATTATTTATTAAACAAAAATAAAAATCAAAATAATATATAACATTGTTGATATTTCATATATTTAAAGATAAAATTATTTGATAATATATAAATACAATTTATATATAAATATTCTATTTCTTTAAAGATGATACAGTATTTAAACTTCCTTGGTAATTTAAAATATTGGACACAAAAGCCGTTATATGATTAATAAAATGATATATGAATATTTTCTTTTTAATTTCTATATACAAATATGATAAAATATTGTCTATATTATTTAATAAAACATAAACGTATAAGATATATATGTTATTTAAATATCTTATATTTATATTTTATATATAATATATATGCATATATTTATATTAATTTTATTCAAATCTATCTATATATATTTATTTTCATTGTTGGTTCTCGATTTCAATGATGACATATCTTCATATAAATTCATTTTTAAAATGCAAATTAAATATATCATTAAATAATTCTAGATAATCCCCTTTTTCCTTCATAGAAAATTTTTTTTAAAAATTAAAAATAATTCGCAGAATGGCCACGAAAATAAGATTATGTAAAAGATTATATAAATAACGTTTTTCTGACAATGGCAGGGTAACATATTCGACATTTTCTGAAATGAATTCATAGGTTTTCCTAATTTTCCATAATCTTAAACCAGAAACTTTTCTTTCTCACATTTAATGATTAGGTAATGCCAATTTTCAATTTATTTGAGAACTCAACCAAGATGAAATCTTCTTATGGTGAAATATAAAAATTTATGGATTTTCAGATGTATTTTGTTAAATTCATTATAAAAAAATGGATTTTAAAGAAATTTTGGAAAAATATAAAAATTAAGTGCACAAAAGATAAAATTTAAAAACAGCTAATATTTTGTTCATTTTTTTTAAAATCTTTCGAAAAATTCAATTTCGAATAAAACAAACAAAACATTATTAGATAAATGAGAAATTTGTTCAAAAATCAAAACAAAAGTTATTTGAAATCTAAAGAGATGAAAGTTTGGTAGTTAAAAATTTATGAACATTTTCTAAATACAGTTTGAATAGACAATAATTCTGAATAAAATCTTTCCCTGTCTATATTTCTGAAATGAGGTTTATACCAGTATTTATATTAAAAAGGAAATTATCCTCATCTTTGTCGCCATATTTCAAGAACAAACGTTTCTTTGTACGCTCCGGCCTTCTTCAGGTGGAAGGATCGGAATCACCGCCCCCTGTTTTCATGTTGAATTGTTCAATTTCCGTTAAGGGAACACCATTGGAAAATTTGTTTTCTTTGTAGGAATCAAAAATATGCTATTTTACAAAAATCTCCTGAGCCGGCCAAGCATAGAAATAAATACAATTTGGGAACCAGTAATAAGGAGTTCCAGAGAAAAGCAATGATAACAAAGTTGATAAATTAAAGACATGCAATGATAACAAGCCTTGCAATATGAGCACTGGTTCAAAATGATGCTGAAAACATTATATGTTTATAATATATATTTTCATATATATTCATGCCCTCAAGGACACATGGCACAGTGGATAAAGGCGTTGGTTAGATCCAGTGACAGACCCAAAGAAGGTGAGTTCAATATCTGTTTAAGGCAGTGGAAAACTTTTTTAAAAGTTAGCATGGAGATAACTGAAAACTGACATCCATCAAACATGGCACGTGGAATTAGAACAGTCTACCCCAGTGATCGAAAATAAAGGGTTCAGTTCGAAATTCCAACCACCTGAATATTTTCTTAACGGCTAGAAACGTTGTGACAAATATGGCGACAAAATGAGGAAATAGTCCGACTAATGTAAATACTGTATTTAAAAATTTTTTTATCGTTTTGTTTAAATTATTTTTAGCTAGAAATTTTTGTTTGGTTGGAAAAAAGTGTCATATCTTCACATCAAATGGTTCACATCAATGAAAAACAAAAAGATTGAAAATTAAAGGGAGGTAACTGGTTTATCTGAAAGGTGGTTGTTTTTTTTAAAATGTCTTCTGTGTGCCGTGTCCCTTCAGGACGTTCTCCACAATTGACTCTCCTTTGTAGCTCTTCATAAATTTTATCTTTTTTTTTTTTTAAGTTTGCGCCAAAATGTAAAAAACTACAGAGATTGTATACGAAGAAGAATCCGTAAAAAACGTTTTCTTATAATGCTATGGTCACATGTTCGATATATTCTATAGTTAAAGAGTCTCAGTATTCCATAAGACCCGACTTTATGTGAAATAATGTCTCCATTTGGATGATTAGATGTTCCTTGAATTTTTAGTTTATTTATAAAATTGGAGTTTTATCCACTTTCTGGCCATGGGAGGTTTTTTTTTATCCTAAAAATGCAAAAAAACATCCTAAACTTTATTTTTACTTGTGACTATTTTTATCTGGATTCCAATTACAATTTGTTCTTGGAGTTATATAAGGGCCTAAAAACGTAGAGTTTGGCAGTTAATATGTTGTATATATTATTCTTCAGTTCAGATGGACTAAAAACTAAAGAGTTGTTAATAATATTAATACTACTACTACTACTAATAATAGTAATAATAATAATACACACTGACAGAACACACAATAAACACTGACAGAACAATCAAAGTCAACAGCCCAGATATTGTTATTAAAGACCACAAAAAAAAACAAAAAAAAAACGGTGCCTCCTTGTTGATATGGCAGTCCCTGCTGACTGCAATGTATTTTTGAAAATATTCAAAAAGCTGTCAAAATAAAAGGACCTTGAAATAGAAATTTCAAAAATGTGGCATATGGGGACATCAACAATCCCTATTGTAGTTGGAGCCCTAGGACTGGTTGGAAAAAATTCCAGTAGACTAATTGAAGCGATTCCTGGAAGTCCATGCCTCAAGGAGATACAAAAAATTGTTCTGACAAGTACAGCCCACACTTTACGAAGGGCTTTATCTATGTATTTTTTTTTTTTTTTTGTCAGTGGAAATTGTCATGATGCCATTTCTAACCTTAGTTCCCTGGGTGGGACCCGCAAAAAAAATGTGTAAACGCCAGAAATCAAAGGAAATAAAAATAATAATAATAATAATTGATGATGCCGATAAATGCACTGGAAAAAAAATACAACTTGTATAGATAAGGAAAATGAAAAAATTCTATGAATACCACCCTTCGCCAATTACCCAGATAAAATCATAAAAGACAATTTTTGGGACGACACAATAAAGAATAGAACAATCAAAATAACCGCCCAGACATTATTATTAGAGACCTTTTTTCAAATTTCCTTACTGATATGGCAGTCTCTGCAAAACAACAATGTATCTTTGAAGATTCTCAAAAATTTATATCAAAATACAAGCACCTTTTTTTGGTCAATCTGAAAAATCTTGTTTTTTTCGGCTTTTTGTTGGAAATCAACAATCCCTTCAAAATGTGAAAAAGGATCACAAATAATCAGAAACAATAACTAAATTTCCAACTGGGGAAAATTATTGTAATTTTAATATGGGGCCCTTTTTTTTAAAAATTCATATATATATATATATATATATATATATATAAATATATTATTTTTGTATATTCTTTACGAAGGACAGGGCTTTATGTATGTAAAATATGTTTGTGCTGTTTTTTTTTTTAATTGATCAGTAAAAAATATCATGAAGCCATTTCTGGTCTTAGGTCTATGGTCATCGGAAAGAAATGTGTAAACAACAGAAATCAAAGGAAATAAAATAATAATAATAATAATAATAATAACAACAACAACACTGGCAGAACAATCAAAAGCCTATCGCCCAGACCACAAAAAAAAAAAAAAGGTGAAACTTATTGACATTTTCATAGTCTCTTTTGACTTTAATGTATCTTTGAAGATATTCAAAAAGCTGTCAAAATACAAGGACCTTGAAATAGAAATCTCAAAAATGTGGCACATGGGAACATCAACAATCCCTGTTGTAGTTGGAGCCCTAGGACTGGTTGGAAAAGATTCCAGTGGACTAATTGAAAGGATTCCTGGAAGTCCATGCCTCAAAAGATACAAAAAATTGTTCTCACAAGTACAGCCCACACACACTACGAAGGGCTTTATCTATGTTTTTTTTTTCAGTGGAATGTGTTTGATGCTATTTCTAAACTTAGGTCCCCATCTACCCGAAAGAAATGTGTAAACGCCAGAAATCAAAGGAAATAATAATAATAATTTCCTAATAATAATAATAATAATAATAATGATTATGAAATCGAAATCTCAAAAATGTGGCAAATAGGAACATCAACAACCTCTGTTGTAGTTGGACCCTTTCTCTTAGTTGGAAAAGATTCCATATATAGACTAATTGAAGGG